TCTTCTTCTAAACTTTTTGGGGGCTTGGTTATTGCTATTCTACAATTACCTTCAACCAAATTTATAGTTTTATTTTTCCCACTTCTCTGATTAGGTATCAATACACCTACCTGTTCACTGCTAAATTTAAAACCATCCCGAAGGCATCTGCGAGCCTGATTCTGCTTTTTATCATCGGTAAGGTTTTCAAGAAATTCTGAGATATATTGACTGAGATCAGATATACCTATCTTAGAGCTAAGATTGTATTTTTCAATGATTTTAGTTGTAATGGCTGACATGATTGAATGTTATAATAGGTTGGGTAGATTATGAGCAGTTCTTTAGGTTATATACACTATAAAAAATATTTTTTAAAATTGAAATTAATTATGCTTTTTCCTCCTATACCTAGAAAAAAAAGAGTTTATGTACTTGCATAAGCAAGAGTAGTATATCGATTTGAAATTTACTAACATATAGGATATAATGAAAAAAATTTATAGCTTTGGAGGTAGGATCCCAGGCTATATTAATTGTATATTGTGTTTTATTTTTTAGTATATTGCTCGAGCTAGAATTAATATATGTTTTGGCTCTAGAACGTTTGCCTTGGTAAATACATCGTATAAGGCGTTTGGACTATATTTTGAGGAAATCAAATTCGGATGATGGAGGAATTTCATAAGTATAACACTTCTCCATTCGCGTGCTTTATTACTATCTCAACATATTTCTAATAATGCAGTTAAGCTGGAGTAATTCATCTCGATCAAGTTATCTAAAGTCATTTTTCCATTTCTTTCTATAGTGAAAAGACTCATTCCTTCTTCGATAATAGATGACATAGTAATTGGACATCTTCCACATATGTCTCCTCTTCGGGCTAAAATAGAAAGGGGTGGTATCAGAGCAGGATAATAAAAGTCAGCTAGGGGGTAGATTGTACCGTATTTATCTAAATTGATTGGTAGAATATCTTCTAAATAATGCGTAAGATCTCTAGTATATTTATATTCTTTGTATAACAATCTATTATATAATTTTCCTTTTCTTTTAATCCAACGATTAGTGGAGAGATTAAGCACTTCTTCAGGTTCATTGAATTCTTTATTATATTCTGGCTCTTGGATATACATTTTTGTGTTGTATTAATGTGGTATATAGTTATAAAAATGATAATAGTTGATCGTTACTTATATAAATGATAAGTTTAATTAGTTATTTTTCTGTTTATAATATTTATACGCTCTTTCCTTACCTTGGCTACACAAGACACAAAGCTGAAGGCTCGATTTAGTCTCTCGACCACATCCTTTACAGGGTTGTGGAATTATTATACCCTTTTGAATCTTGAATGCATAGGTAGTACAATATTGTCCTTTTGCTGGGTTTTTACATAATTTAGTATCTCCAACTAATAACCAATTACAAGATATTTTCGATTCACAAAGTGGTTATATTATTCTCACTTTTATATTTAAAATTAAATTTGAAAATGAAAAATTAACCAAATATCATTTTTAGGCATCACAAAAACCAGTATATTGGTATAAAGAACAGAGTTTTCATTATATTTTAATTTGAAAATTTTATATTGCCTATATGTAGGAGCAAAAATTTCCCTATATCAAAGCTCCTACCTACGAAATTTACCTTATTTGCTCCTTATCGACTAAACAATTACTATAACATACCATTTTCCTGGAGTATGTTAATCATTTTTTTCTATTCCTCATTAGTATCCAGCCATGATGAGGTGATTCCATCTTCTTCAAGAGAACGATGGATTATTTCTTCGCTTATTAGTCTTTCTCTCACTGTTATATCTATATATTCACTGGGGTCTTCTTCAGCCTCCTTTGCAAAACCACACATTCTCGCATCAGTTTGCATTCTGTCACAGAATACGACAGAATCGAGCTTATCTTTTTCAGTAATAGTAATGAATTTGTCAGGATCTTCACCAAGTTCGATAGCTTTCTCACGAAGACGTACCTCTCGTTGCTCCCTGGTTTGATATCCGGGTGGGTATAATATCTGCTAAGATGATACTTTGTTACTGGTTTTTGGTTCATTGTTTACAGCATTGTTTACAGGTAAGTCTGGAAAGATTTCAGGAGATTTAGATTTATTGTCTACAACCTTGGGAGACATGGATATATTAGTAGACTCAGATGATGAAGCAACTTAATATTCTGGTTAATTTATTATCAAATTGAAAAAATCCTGGATCATATTAGTAATAGGAGGGGTGGTTACTATTTCTTTACCTTTTTCGTTTCGATTAGTGGTTAATAGAATAAGATCTATTTTTTCTGGTTGGTATATAACAATTTCAGGTACATCGAATACAGGGATATCTGTAGACGCGTTGGAGGATATCTCGGATTGAGGTGTATTAGAAAATTCTTCAATATCGATGCCCGATTCATGTAGTTTACTCACGATTTTGGATCGATCAAGGAGTCTCTTTTTCTATTGATTCGTGCTTGCTTGTGTTCTATACCAATTGTTGGAGGAGTTTTTCCAAATTTTTTATTAATAAATAGATTTTCACTATTTCTTTCACACCAAGTACGATATTTCTGATATAAATTTAAACATATTGAATTCTCAGTTCTATTTTCAGGCCAAGATGAAATATGATCGATTATAAATCGTTTCGGGTTTAGTAAATGTTCTAACATTATATCTGTTTTCATTTTAGTAGCAGGAATATCTTGTGGATTCCAATCTGAGATATCAAGACTGAGTAAATAAGCCATAATTATATTTGGTGCGTCAGGGTGCTCGAGTACTTTGGCCAAATTCTTAAAATATGCCACGTTATCTTTACAACAGGAAGATACATCAAAACACACAATACACCGATCACCTATTTCTATTCAGAGTGGAGCATCATGATTACTTAATACTATAAACCCAGCATAATCTTTTATAACTTTTGGTTTGATACCTTTGCGTTCAACTGTTAAATAATCTTCTGTGATAAGTGATTTAAGATGATCATTATACTTATTCCAATCTCCACTAGACATACCTGTTTTATTCATAACAATTAGTTTATGAGCCTGAATGCAACTATTAAAATGCCTCAATATTTTTTCAAGATCGAATATTGCATAGAAAAGCTCTGATCCAAGGACTTTCTTACCTATAAAATCAATTAAGATATTTTTTCCACAACCTGGTAAGGAACACAATACTTGAATTGTTCCAGGTTTTTTAAATGGTTGTTGTATTAGATATGTGTACCAGTACCAGAAATATTTACTAAGCTCTTCATTCTCATCAGAGATTATATTTTTTGCATGCCATAGAATTGGATCAATAATAGCTAGATTAATCTCAATTGTTGGTTGGGCTTTAAATCCTAGAAAAAGGTTAAAGAACTTGGTATTTATTGGAGAAGTATTTGGGGGTATAGTAGGAAATCGATATTACGATAAAGAATTAGACCTTTAATAACTGCTCAGTCTATTAATATTTTTAACTTCATTGTTTTACCTCCATATTCTATCATTTTGATTTTATACTTGGCAAAATCCAGTTTAGATGCCATATCGTAGTAAAAACCATTATCTAAATCTTCCATTTTAAGTATCCATAATCTTGAAGTTGTTTGAATACATGCGATAGTTGCTTGTAATGCTTCATAAACTTGATTACGAGTATATATTTCTCCTGATGTGCACATATCAATTAAGTCACCCTATATGAAGTAGTTATTTGGATCAGAAATTCTGGGATGTTCTATTTTTTGGGGTAGTTGTGAAGTTTTTTTCTGATTTTCAACAGTCTCATTAATAATAAGTTTTAATGAAGGTTTTTTTGTACCTTTAGATGTATCTTGATCTGCACAATGACAATAGTAACAATAGGTTTTTCTGTTTCGGACTACATATGCATTATCATTGCTATGTTCTCGATTACATAGAGGGCAATGTGATCCTGTTATACGTCTTAAAGTGAATATATCTGGAGACACAGGAGTTGGGTATAAAACATCAAAACCTTCGATATTCATTACATTGAGTAGTTTCTCTACATAATCGACTTCAGCTCCAATGGTCCTATTATCTGCTTTACTATTTTTCACTATTTCTTTTGGGATTTCTAAAATCGGGCTATCTATAACTGGTGCTTCATCATTAGGAGGATGAAGCATAAAATCAAAAACATTCCTATTTTTGGAATCTAATGCTTTCTTTACACGTATGTGTTCTCTCGTCTCTTCAATAAATTTTGATGTTCCAAGTATTCGTAATGAAAATGATCTTTTATTTGCGATATTGTCAACAATTTCTTTGTCTTGTAAACCCACTGGAAGTTTTTTACGAACGAGTTCAGTAAATACCACAACTTTGGCAATATTCTTAAAACGCATTCCAAATGTTAAGATATGTTAAAATATTTTTTTTGAATCACTACTACTGGCAATAGTGATAGTAGTTTTGTCCTATTCTGAAAATATATCCAAACAAGTTTTTGTAAAAGCATTATAAAGTGTATTTTTTATCTCTTTAGGTGTAAGCTTGGGTTTGATTTTATCAAATTTTTCTCTAGATAAATCAAAATTGATAATAGAGTAAAGTGGGTCATCATCATCAATGAATTCATGTAATGAATATCCTTGCTATTCACTAAGTATAGCTTCTATTCCATCTACAGAATCTGTACTGAGAAATTGTCTTGGCCTTACACTATCATCTCGAATTTTATACTTATATTCAGCCATGCTCTCAGCTTTGCCCCCCCAGTGGTAGAAGGCCCTGCTATTTTCTATTGCTCCGCAATGGCTTGAAGAGCCTTTCTCTATATCTATCTCCGGCTCGAAATTCTCTGAGTTTTCTGGGCTATCTGGTCGAGGTGGTACTCCCACTTTTGCTGACACATGATCGATGGTTTCCTGAAAATTTTGAATATTTTGGGTAGTCATATTACGTTATTATTTGAAACTATAATAGCGGTTAGAGAAAAGTTCAAAATAAAAATTAATTATTTTTGGTAATTAGTGTTAGACAATATATACTACTTAAAAAATATATTAGCAAAACTTTAGATATGGGATTTTACCATTGTCCTTATATTCTTAGAAGTGGGAAAGTATGTAATCGAGGTTGCTTTCGACCTAAGGGGTGTACAATTCACTGGGATTCTTCTACTCGCATACCATATAAAGAATATGGTTGTGTTAAGTTAACATTTTCGATATATGAAGCATGCAGAACTCATGCTGATAAGTATCGTTCTCAGGCCCACTATCATCAGGAGAAGCTGAAGAAGACGGCACAAAGTA